TGCTCCAAACGCATTCACAGCCACGGCTGTCACAGCTTTCGTCCTGCAAACGTCACCTGCCACGGGCTCCACCGGGCAGCAGACACGTAGCTCTTTCTAGGACAAGGAACACTATCGACCAACACCTTACAGCAAACACAAGGCGCTCTACCTGCATGACTAATACCTTCCTGCGGGGAAGGACTTCAGTTATTTTTGTTTATTTTTCCATCCTGTGCGCTGCTTGCCTTCACCACGGAGCCAACAAATTCCATTTTCCCCGCTAGGTCCTTTGTGACACCACCTTCAGGCTGCACCCACTTGAAAAACCCTTTGAGTGACCACAGGAGGCAGGTGAGTGCTTGAGATGGATCAACTTGGACCACTTTTCCTCAAAGGGAAAAACTGTTTTCCAGTCGATAAAAGTCCCCGTAACGTTTCTGACAGCTTGATAAGACAAGCTAACCACGCTCCCCAGCGCTCAGCTGAAAGCCGCTCAGCTATTTTGGGCACAGCCACAGCACTCTCTCAGCTCGAGGACAAGACTCCTGAGGAAACCAGGTTTCCAGACTCTCCTGATGCAATGAACAGGGAACCTAAGGGAACCACCGTGGTGCCTGCAGCCCCTGCTCCAACCACCCTGCACCCAGCTAACCCCAGCTCTTGGCTTGGGAGACGTTTCCACCGCAGCCAGGGGCGCCTCGACAGGCTCCAGCTCTGCATGACGATCTGAGCAGGGGGACACCAGAGCTCAGCACTCACTTCTGAATGGGGCTGGAGAGCGAACTCCATCGGACACAGCAGCACACCAGGCTGTGCTTCCTCTAAGGTCACAGCCGCTTAGGATTCCTTTAAGGCACAGGCTCTCCTCAGTCTATTTTTAGGCAGGCATTACAATTATTTTGCTGCTTGTTGCACGGGTGAATCCTCCGCTACGACTTCCCTTAGGAATATCTAGAACACAATCAGCAAGCCACACACTCCCACTTCCCAGCAGGACGAGCTGGGTGTCACCAGGATCACTTACCGAAAGGAACACCCTGTCGTTAGTCGGACCACAGGCTGCAAGTGCTTTGCAAAAGTTTCCTGGCTCTTCCTGCCTCCAGAGATCACAGAGGCAGGACCAGGCAATAGCCAGCAGGAGCTCAAAGCCCTCCTCCACCTCATCCCAGCCCTGGGCTTTGTAAATCCACCTTGAAAGGAGGTTGAATGCAAGCTGGTGCCAGAAGCCGCTCCACCTGGAGCCTGCTGAAGCGACTCCCTGAGCAAGACAGGGGTGTTCCCTGAGAAAGCAATAAAAGCCATCTTTGGGGAAGGAAAACAAGGACATTTCTGCAGACATCAGCAGCTTGCTCGCTGCAAAGAGCAGGACCCATGGGCTCCTGCCAACTTTCTTAATATAAGATGTTATACAACACTGGTCTACGGGCATTTGGTACGACTCGAAGGCCTCCCTGGCTCCTGCGGAGAAGAAAGCTCCGTGTGGAGATGTGCGCCCACGATGGGGCTCCGAGGGGAGAACCAGAGTCAGGCTGGGGAATACAAAACAGGGAAAAAGAAGAGGAAATATGAATTCAAGTTCAGGCTGTTAAAATCCCTTTTTCCCCCTGAAACAGCCCCTCTGAAAAGTACAGAAGTCAGCTGTTTTCAGGGGCAAGGAGGGAAGCTAACACAGAAGCTAACACCCAGTCTGCTCCACGGAAAGGCGAACGCTGCGCTGGGGAGCGAGGGGAATCCCGGCCGGCTTCCAGCTGCGCTCTGGAAGAGAATTACAGGGAGAGACCCTCCACCTCCAGCACCTCCTCCCTGCCCTCTGGGGAGGGCAAGCAGAGTGACTATAAGCAATCTGGACTTAATTTATTTCAGCTTTGTTTTCCACTAAGGCTGTGGCCCCTTTGAACACTAATCTGCCCAGACACCAGAGCCACCAGACCTCAGACTCTCCCAGGCAGCACCGGCGGGACGAGATCAGATCCTGGCCTGCCAGAGGATCTGGTAGGAACACAAAACCCCAAGTGGCATTTTGCAGTTTCCTCCAGGCTCCCTTGCCTTTCAGAAGCTTTGCACCTGCAGACGACAGATATTTCCAGGGTAACAGCTGCCTCTCAGCTGCTGTCACTTTTTTGTCACGGCGTGCGAAGTTAAGGCTTGCCGGAGTCATGAGTAACAGCGTGGTTTCGCTCGGATTACAGCGGGCTGGTGATTCACGACGGCTCAGAGGGGAGGGACGTGCTGCAGGTTGGAGTGAAGACAACCTTGGTGAGGCTGCGCTTCTCCCAGCGCTCTCTCTCCGAAACACCAAGGAACAAGCAGCCTTAATGGGAGAGCTCCAGGGCTGGCACTCCCCGCTGGCCCCACTGGTCAAGGAGGGGAAACAAGCAGCATCTCTCCTCAATACAAAATACCACCCATCCCATCCAAAGAGCCTCCAGGGAGCAGACAAGCCTGGAAAACAGCAATCGGCACTCTGCTGGGGTAGGGGGTCGTGCCAGAGTCCTCTGCCACCCTCCAGAAAGCAGCTGGTATGCTCACGTGTCACCCGGCCCAAAGGTCTCTCCAATCCCAGAGGGTGCAGAGGCAAATCCTCCTCCCGAGAGGCAAATTCATAGGGACACATTAATGGGACAGCATGGCCAAAGGCCAGGGCTGCTTGTTTTCACAGTGGGGAGACCAATTACAGCTGGCTGATTAGTCCGTTTATCCCAAACGGAGGAAATTGAGTGTAGGGAGCCCTCCACCTATCGCACACCACGGCTGCATCCAGACCAGTGGGACTCCAGTCCGTCCCAGCACCCCAGCAACCCGCTCCACGTGCTTCTCCCCCTTCGTCCAAGGCTCTGAATCTCTGCAAAACCAGTGACCAAGCTCAGCTCCCCAGACTCTGCAGGCAAGCAAGCCGAGACCACAGGCTTCCCATCCCCCTTTCCCACCCTATGGCATTTTAGATGCCTCATTTAATCCCAAGGCTAAAAGGGAGTTAGAGGAGTTGGCAGGACAAGCTGCAGAGCCACATGCTGAGCTGCTGTGGGACACAGGAATTATGAAGCTTTATTTCTAATGGCCGTAAAAGAAAAAAAAAAAAGGGCCGGAGAACAGAGCAGTGAGTTGCAGTGTCCCACTCCTCCCCGGCCAGAAGGTTGTTCCCTCTCCAGGAAAGGCTTTAGTCCGAGTTCAAATCACTGGCCCTGGGGAATTGCCGGAAGAGCCACGCGTGAGTTTACAGGGACCCTGCAAAGGGGAAAATGCTCAGAATGTCTTTTTATTTTTATTTTTTTCAGAAAACGATTCCGGTAAATCTCTCCCCGATTAATTTAGCGTCAGCAGCCTTTCCTGTTTTGAGTCACATCACAGGCTGCATGAAAAGAAACCGTCCCGATGACCAGCGTGCAAAGGCATGCGGGGAAATAGCAATCAGGGGCAAGAAACCCAGAGAAGCGTCTGCTTGACCACCCACAAATACCAGAAAAGCCTGACTTGTCCTGCTGACACACAGCTCGGGTGGAGATGATCGTAACTGCCGGCAACACAGACAAGTGACTGACATTAGAGTCTTTCTATGCCAACACTGCGAGGGCTTGTTTAACCTCACTGACACAAACAGAGGAGCTTCAAGCAGAGCATTTTTGGTTGACCACAGCTGCAAAATGGCTGCCTCCTCCATCCAAACAGTTTCATAAACCTACACTGCACGGATGATCAAGTTTTGTGCCGCAGTCACCGTTTTGGGCTGGGCACTGAGACAGCTCTGCACAGCCCAGCCCATCTCTGAGAGCAAAGCAGAGCTTAAGCAGCTGATCTGCCACCAGGGAGACACACGCTTGGAAAACACCCGCTCAAGACACCAGCCCAGGAGCCACCGTTCGTTTCTCACATAAATAAAATGCTAAACCCAGCAGCTGGGTTCCCACTGCATCATCTGCCACCAGAGCCCTAACGAGAGATCGTGTCTGGCAACGTGTCGGCTTCCATCCAGCCCTCTGGCTGGCCTTTCCTAAGGGCCACCACACACCTCTGGGGACGAACGGCTCTGGTGGCCCAGACATCCCCCGATGCTTCAAGAGCGCAGGAAGGCAGCACAAGGAGGCTCAGCAGCCTCCGAGTGTCGGAGCAAGCTGCCGCGTGAGCATCCCACTCACACAGCAACGGGTAAACCACTAACCTGGCTGGCACGAGCCTGGCGTGCTGGAACAGAGCAGCAAATGCTGAAGATGGAAAAGGCCCCCAGGACCCGTGGAGATAGTGACTGGGATGTCCACGGCCACCACGGGGGATCAGCTTTATTTCAAGCCGTGATGCACAGAGCGGTCTGAGTTCCCAGGCTGGCCGTGTGCCGGCCCCAGCCGTGGCACAGAGGTGCCATCTGCCTCTCCTCCCCTCAGTCCAGACACCCCTGAGGCCTCCCCCTGCCCCAACCAGCACACGAGGTAGCTGGTGTCCCCTCCTCACGGTTGCTATCTGCTGAATTAGCCTCGGCTTTTGAGTCCCTCCTGGCTTGGGATCAAGCCACAGTTTACAGAGACAAGATTCAGAGCCCACTGCCACGCCAGGGAAATATCGATCCTACCTGCACAATGTCCAGCACCATTCCAGCAGCAACTGTCCCAAAGCCTGCCAGGAGGAATGGGAAGAGGACTTGCAGCCCGATAGAAAAGGAGGTCTCTTTGAGGGGTGAGGCTGGCTCAGGACCTCGGTCTGTGCTGGTGTCATCACTTTCATTGCTCTGGCTGCCGTTTTCCAGCAGGGCATCTTCTTCTCGCACCCCTTTAGCATTGGCACGGGACTCCAGCACCACCACTTCTACCCCGTCACCACTGGGTCCCAGGAAGTCTGAGGGCTCCACCAGCTGACCCCGGTCCGGACTGGTGAGACAGTCCACGGGCACAATGGGCAGCACAGCCCCGTTGGCCTGGTGGGTCTCCTTCTGCTCTGGCTTGGAAGACATGCTGCAGAGAGGCTATCCTGACCCTTGGCTGGGTGGGCCTACAGCCAGCAGCTGTTCCAGAAGAGATCTTCTGCCAGGAACTTACACAAATGGCCTTCCCGGCATCTAGAGCCGACCTCTCCTATCCCAGCTCGCCTGCCTTCGAGTGCAGAGACTGCTCCTGCAGCAGAGATCCCCATCAAGCAAAGTCCAGGAATGGAGGATGCCAACCACTGAGCTAGCAGGGAACTGGGAACTACAGCCAAGTCTCTCTAGTTCTCCTCTGCTCCAGCTCTGTGCAGTACAGCAGCCACCGAGGCAGGATCCAAGCTTTTCTTCTTAGACAGGCGACACTTTAGTGCATCTTTCTGGAGGTTTTCTTCCAGCAGCACAGCTGCTGTGCTGGGGCACACAAGACAGAGAGAAAAACAGACAAAGTAAACACCACAGAGTAAAAGAGAAGCTTAAATGGACGAGGACACAGAGAGCTGATATGAGAAGGGTTGCCTTTTAGAGACGACACAATCCAGAAAAGCTCTTCTTACTACCAGGGCTTCGTCACCTTCTCCAGTGGTGTCGTGCCTCTTCAGAATTTGAATCCTGTGGGCTTTTGCTCTGCTTCAAGCCCTCTGCCAAAACGGCCAGCAGCCCCAGCAAGCTCTAAGCGTCAATGTCGTCCTCCTCTTCCAGAATTTCTCACCTTACAGCACGAGGCAATGAGTTGTTATTTAAAGTAACAGCAAGTTCCCAGTTAACGTTACTTACTGAGCTGAGCAGGCTGTAGGGTAGGAGCTGGCATTTGGACAGCCTTAGGTGTAACGTCACTCTCCAAGAACTTGTCTTTCACCTGCAATATATGGGAGGAGAACAGCTATTCTATTGGGTGTCGTGGCAGTCAGCACAACAGCTCATTCATTCCATAATATTTACCGTTGAAGGTACAGCCTTCAGCGTATATTCCCCGTACTACCCCTTGATTCTTAAAATCCAGCCCCGCACACTCCAGAGGGGCTGTCTCAGGTAAAAAGCGACTCTCTGCTCCCCACAAACGACCATCCAACCCGCAGGACACCGGCACCCAGCCCGGCG